CCATGACCCATCCATCAGCAGATCCTATTGGCTTCACTGTTGAACAATATTTAGAATCTACCAATTCCCACTCTCCCCTACTCTACTGTTGTAGTTCAAGCTGCCAAGATTCCTCTGATGATTACAGAAATGGCTTTCCCGCTGGTCTCCCTGAACCCCCCCCCAACCTCCCATATTCCAAATAGCAGTCACAGGAACCCTAAAAAAAAATAAGTCACATCATGTTACTACTCCTCTGCTTCAAGTCCTCTAGCAGCCCCCTACACCTCACTCACTCACAATAAAAGCAAGCGTCCTCCTCATGGCCTGTAGGGTCCTACAAGTTCTGCCCCCACAGCTCTCTGACCTCATCTCCTCCTACTCCTCATTCTTGATTCCACTCCAGCTACACTGGCCTCCCAGGTGCATGTCGGGCCTTTGCATGTGCTGTGCCACACCTGAGCTGGTTTTTCCTCAATTATCCATACGGTTGGATTACTTATCACCTCAGGTCGCCAACTCAGAGAAGCCGACCCAAGTCAGTGTATATAAAATAGCAATGTTCTTCTCAACACAAACCTTCTACCAGCCTTTCCCGTTTTATTTTTTTCCACAGCACTAGGTAAAATATTTTACTCTTTATTTACTTATACAGCTTATTGCCATTCTTCCCTTCTAGAATGCATATCCCACGGCAGGAATTTTAATCTATGTTGTACCTTGATGTACCGCAGCACCTAAAAACATGTCTGTCGCACACAGTAGGTGCCTCGAAAAATATTTTTTGCAAAGATGAATAAATGAATTAGCAAACGAATTAATGAATGCCACGTGGCAAAAGCAAAACCATAGCTTAGTCTTTAACCAAAAAAAGGGTTTTTTTGGTGTGTGTGTGGCTTATTAACATGTTATTATCCAAAGCACATATAAAGAAGTATCACAATTTCAAGTAAAAAAAGTACGGTTGTGATGTCCTACTAGCTTAAAGTTTCCATTTTTATCCAACCATTCAAAAGCATAAAAAGCAACAAAAATGTCCAAGTTTCTTTTGGGCAAAGACTATGTCTGCTGTTTATTACTATCAGAGATCAGCTCACAGCAGGAACTCACAGTATGTACGTGGCCTGAATGAGCACTAAATATGCCTTTTATTTTACAGTTAAACATCATTATTTACTGAACCGTGCTGGAGTGAATATATCCTCAAGGATACGCCCATCCAGGAAAGAAGACACATAAAACATTGACATGAAAAATATTATAATTTTTCCATTCACAAATTGATGACTGCTGTTAACAGAATATTAAAGTAATTCCTAAAAATGAAAGAAAAATGGGTATTTACCTACTTTAGCTATTATGAAAATGAAAATTCCCTTTCAAAGAACTGCCCTAAACAATAGATAGGCTAGACTAGGGAACTACTCATGTGTAAACATTCTTCCCTCTTTTGGAGTCAGGCCAAGGAGTTTCAGTACCAATGAGGGCTATAATGTATCAATTTAACTTTGAAAAAAAAATTATTTCTTTGATAAAGTGTTCTGTCTGGACATAATGACCACTTCATACACATATGCCTCAGCAGGACATACTGGCAAATTGAAAAATTTAATCAGGCATCTGTCTGCTCCAAAGAGATGGTTTCCTTCAGCTTTTCATTAAGTGATTGTAAGGAAGCCAAAGTGCATGATCATTAGCAATACAAATTTCCCTAGTGGCCCTTATTACCAAGGAATAACTGGAAGCCTTAATCAAGTTTAAAGTCACTGTACGAAATGCATCTAGTGGGCATAGCAACCCCATAAGCTCTGCCTTATTTAATAGTCTTCTCTTCACCTCAATGACTCTCTCCAAGAGCCTCCAGGAATGTCTGAGCATTTGGGTTTGCGTCCTGAAACTGCCACTTCCAACTGTTTCACCTTAAAAAACCACCATTAACATTTTCTGGTCTCAAATTTCACATCTGTAAAACAGGGATAATTAAGGTCAGTCCTGCTATCTACACAGAAAAAATTTAACAATAAAATTAAGTAATGCTTGTGAGAGCAGTTTAAAAACCTGAAAAGCCATACCAAAATGTAAATATTCTTACTGTGTGTGTCTATTTCTTATTGTCTCATTCTTATCTTATCCATTCTCCTTGCCAAGCACCGGTCTTCACTATTTCTTGCATCCAGTTAATAATAAATGAAACGATTGCTTTGCTGTAGGCCTGCAACTGCATTAACTCTTCCCTCCTTATGCTAAGGCTAAGAAGGTTTGCCCCTAATACCTGCCATTAATGAGGCTTAGTGTTTTCTTAAATTGTGTGCATTTTGTATGCCCTCCTTAAAATTTTATCCCCCAAAACAGAATACTCACTCACTGCTGGTAGAACTGTAAACTGGTTCAGCCTTTATGGAAAACAGTATGGAGATTTCTCAAAGACTTAAAAATTGAATTTCCATTTGACACAGAAATCCTACTACTAGGAATCTACCCAAAGGGAGGGAAAAATCAATGTATAAAAAAGATACCTGTACTTGTATGTTCGTTGTAGCCCCCTTCACAATACAAAATTAAGGACCCAACCTAAGTGCCCACTGATGATTGACTGAATAAATAAAATGTGATACACACACACACACACACACACACACACACACACACACACACACACATACACATATACATATACACATATACATATACATATATATGAGATATATATATATCTCATAGAATACTATGCAGCCACAAAAAAAGAATGAAACCATGTCCTTTACAGCATCAAGGATGGAGTTGCAGATCATCATTCTAGGTGAACTGACTTAGAAAAAGAAAATCAAACACTGCCATGTTCTCACTTATATGCAGAAGCTAAACGGCCACAAAGATGGAAATAAAAGACTATGGGAACACCAATAAGAGGGGAGACTGGGGAGGGCGTAGGGTTCAGAAATTACCAAGCCGGGCTTGGTGGCTCAGCCTGTAATTCCACGCCTTTGGGAGGCTGAGGTGAGCGGATTGCCTGATCCCGTGGGTTGGAGACCCACCTGGGTAGGCGAGACCTCATCTCTACAATAAATCAAAAAATTAGCCGGGCGTGGTAGCGCGCGCCTATAGTTCCAGCTATGGAAGTCTGAGGCGGAAGGATCACCGGAGCCCAGCAGGCGAGGCTGCGGTGGCCGGGAGCAGCCACTGCACTCTAGTCTGGGCGACAGAGTGAGACTCCAACTCAAAAAAAAAAGAAATTACCTACTGGGGACGATGTTTACTATCGGGGCAACGAGCCACCTGAGTCCCAATTCCCACCACTACACAATATGTCCATGTAACAAACATGCATACTCACCCCTGAATCTCAAATAAACATGGGAAAACAAATTTCTTCTCTAACCCCAAACAGCAAAAAACAACATCCCATAAAACAAAAACAAAACAAAATATGAGATTCTAAAGTCTGGGAACTACCAAAACTTGTCTCCTTGTCAGACTGTCCCGAAACACTAAACAAATCTAATATATTACAGGGTATCAGTCAAGATTTTAGATAAATTAGTACCATAATCTTATTTTTCTATAGAAAAAGTCCTATTTGACAATAAGACTGCAAATTCCATCTCATGAAATTAGTGGTTTAATGAGTGTATTAAAGTCAAATATTCTTAGAATCAAGAATATTTTTTGAATCCTTCAGAAAAACAAACACGAAATTCACTGGTCTATCAACATTTCCCAAAAATATTATGGTAATCTCGCTTATTTGAATGTGCTGAACTACATGAAAATACCCAGCAGAAGAACCCTATAATACATACTCTTTCTTCTAAAAATGATAACTTTTTTAACATTCTTTAACTGTTTCATACCTGCCAGGAGGAAGCAAATCCATCTAAAATGGTAAAAATGTCTAAGTGTCACAAAAGGAACCAGTATTGCTTATAACCTTCTCCTCTCCACCCCATGTTTCTCCAGGATCTTGCTGCCATTTTCATATAATTTCCACATGTACAGTCAGTACAATTTCAATGCAAAGGGACGTGGACTCAAACCCAAGTCAACAAAAATTCACCTTGCCTTTATAAGGACCAAGGAGGAAGTTCAGGTCTAGAGTTATAGGCAGACATGAGACAGTGAGAGAACAGGTTTCAAAACATATCTGAGACTCCAGAGGATGCTCTCCTTGATAGTATCTTTACATGAAAAATTGCCTAAGAGATAGGAAGCTCCCCAAAACTAAGTTCTGAAAGCTGAGCTATCAATGAGCCTGATGAGGGAGACAAGGTAACAGGTCAGGAAGTTGCAGGCGGGACTGTGATCCTTCTGAAAAGAGGAACAGAACCCAGGATCCTCAGTAAAAGTGGTCAGGAACTGCAAGACCAGCATGTGGACAGCAAAAGCACCAATGAAGTGAAGGGCAAAGAAGTCAAGTCCAGTGAGTGGGACAGCAAGTGGTGGTAATTACTGGAATCACTGAACCAGAGCCTTTTGTGAAGTCCAAAGAACAAACAGAGGACTAACCGCTGCCAGGAGAGTCAGCAGCCACATCTACAATGGCTTATGACAAGGCCTTCTGGCAGTTTAAAAAAAAAGAAAGAAATCCAGTACCAGTAGGGTTATGAAAAAAAATGAAGCCTTACAGTTCATTAGTCCATTAATTGACCTTACCATCCTACCTAATCCGAGTTACTCATAAAATACTCTCCTTGCTCTATCAGGCGATTTGGTTGCTTGCATGCCAAAACTTAATCAGCTTCAAATCGGAGCCCATATTTTTAGGAAAGAAAAACAGTAGAAGACAGGGTAACTATGTCCATGTTCAAGAGAATTCGTGCAGAACGTATCATCAAAGAAATCAACTTAGGCAGCAGCCCTCGGGAACACAGTGAGCAAATTCCCTGAGCTGAGTGGACAGTGCACATATTAACCCATGCTAAGAAGCTCTTCAACCAAATGTCCCATTTCCACTGAGCAGAAGACGGAGACAAGCACAGCAGCACACATGTGGAACAGGGCACAGGATGGGTACGTTTCCTCACGGTGTCTCCGGCAGATGCTGTCCAGTTGATTTTCAGGGCCACAGCCAGGTCGAGCTATGAGACCTCTGCTAGGTCTACTGCAGTGGTTCCCTCTGCTTGAGCCAAAGAAGGGGACTGACCTAGATGACATTCTGCCCTGCCTCAATATTTAATGGAAAACGGAGAACTCCCTGTTTGGGGGAAAGCAGAACCTATCAGTATTTAAAATGACCAAGCACAGACACGAGCCGAATGTGTGAGAACAGCGAGCACATTTCTTTAGGAACACAGAGCTAAGTTCTAGCTGTACCTCATTTGGCAAGGGAGGAAATGAGAGATGGAAAAACCTGAAAACAAATGAATTGTCTCACTGTGTACCCTGATCCACACCACCGTTTTAGAAATGTGGAGTCGAAATGAGGAGCCAGGGTAACTTTCCTGCACTCTTAGAAGGCAGAGCGGCTTTCAAAACCATCATCTCTACATGCAAGGAGAAATTCACTAGATTAATTGTGAGCTCACCTACTGCACAGTCTTCACAGTATCAGGACACATGCTAGAATGAACACTTTTTGCCTTTCGGCTGATAACTGCTGGGCTTAAAACCCTCTCATTACGAAGAATCAAAATGAAGCATGTCTAATTACACTCTGTGCCTCAGAGCAGTGATTCTAATTCTCTTCCCCAACAGCTAAACAAACATTAGAAGTTCAGCGAATGACACCCTCTCAAGGGCACGCTCAGATGTCGTCAGAGCCCCACACTTGGTGCAAAGGAAAGCACAGTGGTAACTGGTAACAATCACATCTCTGAGAGTCAGCAATCACCTCCTAAGTGTAAGTGAAATAGACTGCGTGTGATGCAGAATTCTCAGGGTCAGAAGTAAGGTATGGTCTCTTCCTATTCAAAAGAGCATACTAGAATGAAAGTAAGGGTGATTTCATTCTAGGACTAATAGTCAACCTACTCTAATGGTTTTAAGTAACTCTTTTGGACATGGCAATAGTCAACTTCTCATTTGCTGCACGCGAGCTATGGATCAAGTTTCCAGAATGCTCTTACGGCTCCGAGAGGACACATGGCCAAGAAGACTTGAGAGGGAACACATCTGATATTGACATTCGCCAGACTGGATCCTCAGAGGTTAGAGGGTAGGTCATTAAGAGACTCAAAAGTCTGATCAATGGTGCTTTGCTTTTCAAACATTTCTACATATCTGTGTATCCCCATATGTGCCTGTGAACTGTGGAAATGCCTTGGCTAAAAGAACTACCAGTACACATGTAGGCTCAATATGGGACTGACTTCTCAAGTTCACAACTTTCAAATAAAGTAACAAGAAAAAAAGACTTTGCAAGTGTGAATCTACATGTGGTTAAAAATACTCATATCTGATGAGGAAGAAAACAGAATTGAAAACCTGTACAGAGTGGCACCTTTTCCTCAAAGCACATATGGGTTTTCATACCATATTTCTGCCATCCCAGATTCCTTGTGAAGTAAAAATGGACTTGTAACATTGGGCACCCTTGAGCAAAAATGAAAGCACTAAGATTAAAGAGAAGCCAGACATCCTTATCTGAGACCAATGCACTAAGAAATTATCTTGAACAATTACAAAATGAAAATAATTATACTTATAATACCTGTGTTCCTTTTAAAGATGAGAGAAAAGTAAAGTTTAATTAAGTTACAACTCAGTAGCTTAGGAACTGAACCAAAGTTGGGGTTTTACTCTCACAAAAAATAATTTGCTTAATGCCAGTTACTAGTATAAACATGATCAGAATGACTATCCTATCTAGCCCTTTCCAAAACTATTTAGAAGTACCCATTCATAACTAACTTACTAATTACAAGACACATTCCACGGCTACACCCTTGAGAGCTTATGCATCTTATAGCTGAATCCATGAGAATTTGGGTGATGGAACCAACCTCCCAAAGCCCTCCTCCCTGACCAAAGCCTGGGGTCTGGCCAGTCCATACAGGTGTGAGGAGGTGAAGGAACACACAACTGGGGTTGTTTCCTTCTGTTTCCTGCCATACACACTCGGAAATAATTCCCACTCCTATCTACAGCAACAGTTTGCTACTCACTTGGGCTTCGAGTTGAGATTTGGGCTGTGAAATTCTCAATGTGGCAGGCCAGGGTAATGTCCCTTATCCCATCATGCCCCAGGGCCCGCAAGTTCCCACAACCATCCGTAGGAGCTGTCCGTGACACACTCTGCCTGTTCTAAGCCAGTGTGAGGCTGGACTGTTTGTCACAGTGCAGGCCCAGAAGACTACAGTGGCTCCCTGTTGCCTGCTGACTCAGGGGCCAAATCTCCTTCCTGCACCTCAGCTCCACTGTCAGTGCCTGTCCCCTGCTGCGTGCCAGCAGGGAACCCCAGCTCTGATAGGCTGGCACCCTCACACTCTAAGGGTAGGCTCGTTCCACTTCTGAAAGTGAACATATGTCCCTTTCCTTCACAGCCTTCTTCTCTCTGCACCACCCCACCGAACCTTACCTGTATTGCTTGCTTATCTCAATTCACCTCCTCCAGGAAACCCCTCGGACCACTCCAGCCCACACCCATCTCCCTGTCAAAACCCTACAGGTATTACCAGGGGTCCCATACAGTTCGGCAGTCAGGTCTCTACACCCTATACAGCTCTCTGAGAGTTTTGGTCATGTCTCCCCCTCTGGCTCTGAATTTTTTTTTAAAGCAGTGATCCTCCCTTTACAGTATTTTTTAACATATCCTCACATGTTGGACACAGAGTAAGGATGTACTCAGTAAATACTCCAAAGTCCTAGGATGATAGAATGCTAGAGCTTGAAGAGGATCTTATCCTTTTTGTGGTACGGATGATGCAAATGAGCTCTAGAGACATAGTCAGCGGATCTTTGTTGAGGAAGACTTGTTAAAAGGAAACTAAGCCCCTAATCCCAAGTTCCATGCCTTCACACCCCCACCCCCATTTACACAGTTTATGTCAGGTCGTTCAGTATGTCTGAACATACATATTTTCCTTATAGTAATTCATCATGCTCATTTTTCACCACATCAGGCTGGACTTTTTAATAGTATTCATTCAGTTGATGTCCCTGATGACAATTAGACTTGCCAACTGTTTCTCAAGCCAGTGATGGCTACGAGGAAAGGCTCCTTGGAGATGCTGCTGGCCTCGGCTAGCCGTGTGTAGCGACTCAGACACTGAAAACAGAGAAAAAATTCCGAGACACACTCCTGGGCTGGCCGGAGAGTACTAACACAAATCAACGCACACACCTAGCTCTGAGTGAAGCTAGAGAGGAAATCTCGATGGACAAGGCCAGAAGCCAAATAAGTCTTTTCAGCCTCATTCGGATCACCTTGGCAGACAGCAGGTGTCCCGCCAGACTGGCCCAAAGAACAAATGTAGCTTTAGGTTGTGGCTCGGCCGACGACGGACAGAAATTTGCTTTTGTGTACTCTTCCTTCAACTTTTGAAAAATTTTAATTTATTTCTTGCTTTCCATTTTGTTGGTGCGGTTTTTAAACCTCAGCGGCTTTGCGGTGGCAGGGGAGGGTGAGATAGGCGTGGTGGGGGATGACAGATTGCACAGCCACACAACAGCGCTCTTCCCTGCTGTGTGGGGATAGGAAACCCACGAGGCTCATCCGCACCCGCCCACCCTCCCACCGAGAGGTGCATCTGTCGGAGCCGGCCCGTGGGCAGCAGGCTGCTTTTCTGATATGGCTCCTGTCAGAGCACTGGATGGCAGGTAGGCAGCGATGTGGGGGCTTCTCGCCCCTGCTCAGACGTTCTGAGTCAGTCTGACACGGAGGCAGCGGAGAAACAGCCTCTCTGGGTTCTTTAATTAACTTAATCCACCTAACCATGGTCTTTAAATAATTGAGTGCCTTGGTAACCGGTGTTCAAACGTTGGAAGAATTTCAGTGACAAGAACTAAAATGTTAACCTTTTAATGCTAGTTGGAAACATTTCATTCTCCTTCTTGTTATTCACAAGCTGAGGCTACATTAAAAAATAGAGCATTGGGGGTGGGGGAAGGATGTTTAGATCATCAACAATGAGCAGAGCCATATTTATACTAATAGGATCATTTCAAACAGGAAGTCAGCAATATGGAAGAAATGAAAATCACTCATGTTTTTCTGAGAGTCATATGATAAGTTTCCTATCTATTATAAACTGTAAAAACTGTCAATGTGTTTATTTGAAGCTGATATACTCCTAAAATGTATAGCTCTTTTGTGAAAAAAATAATTCATATTTGTCTTATTTACTTCCTAAAAACAGAAACCACTAGATTCACTCCTTGGTAACTTTATTTCGTATCAGCTACTCATAAAAAATGTACTGGAGTTATTTATTTATTGTTGTTCTTTGGACTGCATAAAATGTAAAATTTGTAATTAAATGATTATATCAAACACTAAATATCCTACTGTTACATTTAAGAAGATATGAAGCAAATACTTCCACTCTTTGGGCTTTTTTTGTTTTCTTTCAGTTTTCCACACAGCCTTAGGTAATATTAAATCATAAAATAATATTACAGTTTAGACACTCTTAGCCTGGAAGTATTTAAAAACTATTGTTAAATGTATTTATTAAATAGCAACTCAGACCAGAGAATTCACATTCTCAATCTGAAATATCTCTTTCTTTTCCTCTACCTATTGACATTCTATGTATTTCTCCCTCAAGGTCAAAATCAGATGTCAGCCTCAAAAGCCTTCTTCAGTCTCTGCAGTCAGATAATCGATGCACGTGATATAATATGACATAATGGCACACTGTATAAATGGAAGGCACTGTCTCCTATGCTCCAAGTGTTGCCCTCATGACACCCCACTGGAGTTGAACATGTGCCTGTGTAGATCCCCTCAGACACCCAATCGAGATCTCAAGTTCAACAGGTCCACGACTGAGCTCCAGAACCTCCATCAAAACCCGTGCTTTCCATAGCCTCCCTCTGTCTGTAAGAACATGCTCCCAGGAGCTCAGGTCAGAATCCTGGGGTCCATCTTGACTGCTCTTTTTATTTTACCCCTCATATCCAATCCACCAGCAAACCCTGTTGGTTCGGTCAACAATACGGATCAAGCATCTGAGCATTCCTCACCACCTGCTCTAAGCCACTGACAGGTCCCA